AGGAAGGAAGTTGTTCATGAGCAAAGCAGAGACAATGGGCAGAATAGACAATGATTGGCTGTACATACTCTTCACAGGCAATAGAAAAGAGTAGCAGATGCTTTATTAGTTCCCAATATTCTTTTACCAAAAGTAGTTTTTGAGTTCCACATCTTGAAACACAGCCAGCATAAACACTTCAACACCCACTGGTGAATTGTGTCTCAAGGTCTTCCAAACTGGAGGTGGCACCTCCCTACTATTGAATATATTGTACCTGCCCTGAATATATTGTTGTTCCATAGAGATTGAGTACAATTTTGGTTTAGAGGGGAGGATAAACAAAATGTGAACCCCGGAAAGACTGCAAAAAGGAACACAGACACTGTTTTAATGTAATTGTTATTGTGTTGTCACTTTGGAAATTCCTGAAAATGTCTCTGATCCTGAAGTTAGTCAATAGAATGAAAAGTAGCTGCTCTAATCCACAAGAGAAGGAGGGAAAACAGTCTATGAACAATGTCTGTTGGTACAAACTAAAGGAAAAGCTTGCAATATATAGACAGTCAATGGAATATTTTTGTTCTCTTCCTAGAGACAAGATACACAACGTGATTAGAGAATCTTGTTAGAACTTTATGGACAAGAATAATTTATGATATATCTCATGGCTTTCTTTACATACTTACACGTTCAGAAGACAGAGGCAGTTATAGTACTAACAAGCCCAAGTTAACATCTCAGTGTCCTGACTGCAAAGGAAGAAAGGTAGATGACAAAGAATTCTTGATTTGAAATGCTGACTAGATGACAGGTGGAGGTAGAAGGCACATGTAGTGGCAAATTCTTCAAGAGAGAATGAATATTACACATTTGAAGTTATGTAAAGTGAATCAGATTAAGAAAAATAAAATGAAAATGTTGCAAAACAAATAAATTACCATTGATAAAACATAGAATGGAGGTTTTGACAAGCAAAATTCCTCAAGGTACTGATAGGTTTTACAGCAAACACTCTTTACTTAGTTTTGCACAGACCATTAGGGAGTACAGAGCAAGAAGATTTGGGTTTGTGCTGTATTACTGAAGCTGAGTTGAAAATGACACCGTTTTCTATTTCATGTGTATTAAAGCCAATTCTAATAGTGTGCGTGGGAAAGACTGAGTGAAAAAAAGGGAAAGACATGGCATATCTGATTCCCAATTATGTACAACATAAGCGGGTGATCCCAATTAGCTACGGATCAGAATTCTTAGGTAGAGGAGATGCCAATTTAAAGTTCACGGCAATATTTGGTCTTAAAAAAAATTATTGCGTCTGGACAGCATTTTTTCTAAGGATCTTTGGTACTAAGCAGGAAATAGTCTGTGTACTAGATTAAATTTACTGTTAGCTGTATTTTTTCCAAGGCTCTTATAGCTTTTTCTGTATTTGGTAAGCTGGTGAGGGAGAGTACCACAGTCATCAGGAAAGGTCATCACTACCTGGTGTAATCCAAACCAGTTGATCTGTTCCACAGCTTGCTCCTTTGTTGTATTTTACTCAGAAAAGATGGCAATCTTGATTATACTGCCAAAATTGTTCTGGAAGTGACAGCCAGTGTCTGCTTCCTTTTTTTCCTGAAATTTTTGCAAGTGCATGCATGGATATACCTTAGTATATGTTCTGCAAGCCCTAAATCATGAAGCCTTCTTTGTATGTACAGTAAATGTTTGCCTTCTGTAAGAAGAGCTGTAGAGCACCACTATCAGTAAAGACACCCAGTGTCAGCTGGTGTCCTCTACAGAGCAACAAATCACATTTAAAAGCAATGAACGTTCAGCTCCTGTATGAACTAGCATAATATGTGTGGAAAAAAGTTGTCATGCCTGTGAGTTTTCAGTCCAAGTAACATCTGAGATTCTACTCAGTTGGCAGTTAAATATCATTAGAGCTTGCTTAAAGAATATAAGTGATCAAGGTTTGTTTCTTTTGTTTGTTTCCTTCTTTTAATTACTAAATGCACCAACAATGTTAAGGAAATTCTGTATCAAAGGTGTATGTGAAAACAGTTGTGAAAATTGCAAGGAAATATTCTATGATAAAAGCAAATAAAATCTGATATAATAGTATAAAAAAAGTCACAACAGGAATCAGTTATGTTCTATATTATAAAAGAAACCAGAAATATGTCAGGCTGAATTTAGTTGTAGTAAAGGTAGAGAAGTCCCTTAATCTGGAGAATATCTTTCTGGGTCCACAAACTCATTTTTAGCCATCAGTTACCTGCTATGATTCTCAAGGATGAAAGGGTTTATTATGTATTCTCACTGCCAGACCAGTAGTTGAAAAAAGGTGACATCCTGAGACACCTGACCTTTCTTGATGAATAGGTTAACATGACTTTAAACCAAGATTTAGAGCTGTTTGGAGCCTTCTGAGCTACAAAAAGCAGCAAATCATTACAAATTAATTGATCCCTTTGATTTCTCACTTTTCATTTTCTATCTCAACACTAGAACACAATTAAGATTTACAAAAGATGTCACCTTTCAGAATTAAGTGTAATTATCAAGTTCCTTTCACTTCAATTCAGCCTGTGAAGCACTTCCCAAGGTAAAAGTTTGTGTCTTGAAATCAGTTAACTTTTTGGTTATATTCAGTTGATGAAATAGCTGATTCTTTATGTCTGTTAACTATTGATTAACATAAGGGACTTAAAAAAAAAAATCCTCTTTCTTTATCACCCTGTTCAAAAACTTGTCTTGCTTGTTTTGGTGAGCTGCTACTTCACAGAACCTTTGTGCTCACTTAAGCCATCTTCTTTAACAGATGGTGCAAACCAGCAGGGATAGACCTTTAAGTAAAATGGGTAGTGCTGAGGACCTGACATATTTTCAGGGTTTTTCACTTTGCACTGGATCTTGTCTGGTCCTGTAGACTGAATGCTCATTTGCAGCTGGAATCCATTAGATAACTTCTTTGCATTTCCTCACCCCAGAATAATCCATGAGACAAATTGTGGAAAATCACAGATTTTCGTAGAAGTTTGTGAGAGAGATGTAATCCTTCTGTTAGTTATTTTCTGTCCTCCCTCTGTTTTGTTATCGAATTGAGAATACATATACGAGAAGATTATATAATAAATAAAGTCTGAACATAAATGATATAAATTACAAATGTAAGATACTACTGTTTAAAAATATTTCAACTTATCATTAACTGGTGTATTAAAATTTCTGTTCCTTAATTTGTCCATTGGTTTTGATGCAGTAAAGGGTTTTGGCTTTGCTTTTAGCAAATGACCAAGTTGAAGACTCATAGTTGAATTTAAACGGTGGTTAATAAATCTGAAGCAACAGCTGATGCGAAATGCTCTCAAATGGAAATCTCAGTCACAGACCTAAATTACATCTCTGCTAGCTGTGAGAGATTGTATCTCATAGAAAATCATAAATTTTTAGTGTTTTTTTGTTTTTCCTGTGATTTTTTTTTTTTAAATCAAGCATCTAGTAACAGTGAATCAAGTCACTTACAAATAAGTGATCAGAAAAAGTATCTGAAGAAGGATTGTAAGATTTTTTTAGTTATCCAGAATTGTATGGTTATCTTGGTTGACTAAATACACACTTGTGATACTCAGCTGAGATAATAAATAAAGAAACAAACATAGAAGTAAATGTTCCTCAGTAGTGAATAAATAAACAAATAAATAGTGAATTAGGAGTTTCCGGAGGTAGCAACAAAGTGTATTTCTAAATTCATCTTTTTGTAGCCATCTATTGTTTTTATTAATTACAAGAATATAACTGTGAACTGTTTATGAATTAGGATCTTTGCTTCTAAAGTTCATGATGGCTAGAGTTGAACACCACACGAGAAGTGATAAAACAACTACACCTAATTAGTCACTGCCTATCATTTGAGCCAGAGTAAAGATCATATATACGTTCTCAAGCTGCCCTACTTGCAGGTAAAATATAGTAGCTTAAAGCACTGTAAAATTACGAAGCCAATTCAAACTGTCATATTTTCCTTTCCTATTGGGATGAGCTAGGAGAGCAAAAGCAATCAATTACCGCACTGGCTGATAAGCAGTAACTTGTTATTTTTCAGTATCTTTTTTTTTTTCCCCCTTGGCCAAAATAGTTAACTATATACCGATGGCTAAATATTTTCTCTTGATTTCCAAGTTCTCCATTTGTGATTCTTGTGTCTTTTATCAATGTGTTTATATATTATGTTTTCAAATTAAGCCAGAAATGTGACCATCTTTTATGGAAGCATGTGGTACACTATTTATAGCTGTACCACATTTCTAGCTCAAGATCATCTGTGAATATTCACTCCTAACAAAATCATAATATTACTGTAGGTGGTATTTAGAAGAATGCCTTAGCTTAAGGCCCCAGTAATGACAATCATACCTGGTACTTGCTGTGGTTTTGATTTATCTAAATCAGATCCGCAAATAAGCCATGCACGTTTTGTAAGAATTTTGAATTTTTTTTTCCTTTGGAAATGTTTCTTAACAAAACCTTTGCATTATACAATGATTTTTTTTTTTTTTAATGTGAATACCATGTTAAGCTACTAATGGTTTTACTGAAGGTTGAAGGATTGTGTGCAGTTATATGCTGTTAGTAAAGTTCATAAAAAATAGGCCTTTAAGAACAATGAAGAGTACCTCTGGAGTATGAAATGTGGTTGACTAATAAGTTGTCTTCGATACTGAGAGGTTTTCTTGTTAACAATTGTGACATCTGCATGACTGAAAAATTATCAGAAAAACTGAGCGCTAATTTCTATGTCTGTTTTATAGTCATATGTGCCACTTGGTTCATATCACAGGAAGCAAAACCAAATTAGAATTCAACGTCATGCTGTATTTTGCTGCCTACATGCATTAAGAATATATTGTTCCTGGTACTTTATAATTACTATGAAAATATGTTTTTAAAAAGTTTTTTTTTTTTTTAATGTATGAAATTTCAAATACATATATTATTGTAAATGACACCAGTTTCTAACTTTTTTGCAGACTTGTCCTCAGTTCTGTCTCTGACTACTTTGCTGCCATGTTTACAAGTGATGTTTGTGAAGCCAAGCAAGAAGAGATCAAAATGGAAGGCATAGACCCCAATGCACTGTGGGATCTTGTTCAATTTGCATATACAGGTATAGTACTGCATACATTATACTTCCTATAGAGAAAGATGTTGATAGTTTTCTTTGCTACATGCCAATGAATTATATATATTTTCTAAATATTTTTTTTCTTTTTCATCTCAATCAGTCAAAATACTTATTTACCATTTCTAGGGCTGAATTCAGATTTTCATCTCTTATCTCCAAACTGTTAAATATTTCAGGCCTGGTAAGTATAAGAGGACAGTCTAGAAAATTATATATTTTTCTTGGTTTTCCAATACTTAAAAAGAGTGCCTCATATACACATGATTCAGATTACATGAGATCACTGAAGGAACAGCTGTATTTTTTGAAGAATAGCCCTATATTACTGTCTTAGTCAAATTTCAGTTTAAATAACCACATAAATCTTTTAAAATTTTAAATAATAAAACTTTTGAGCTGGACGTTGTCACTTTCATTTCCTGTTATAAGCTGGTACTCTGTTGTGTAATGTAAATTTATGAATGACTCATAACTCAGAGTTAATAACTCAGAACTTCCTTCTGAATAGTTATTACATTTTAATGCATAATAGATTTGGGTTTTATCCTTAAATAAGCTGTTATGCACAATGTATCTGAAGTGCATTAATATGAAAGAATGCTAAAGTTACAAAATAAAGTAATCAAAAGAGAGGAAATGCCAATAATAAGATTTGTAGTCTGAATTTGTCTCCCCTTGCCTATGAATCATGTAAGTATAAAATATATACTGTTTTCTATTTCTGTTTCATAAGACATCCTCATATTGTTTAAATTAACAGTATTTTATCATGATGTTTCTATTGAATATTTCATTTGAGCTTCAATTTTAAATGAATAACCCATACCTTGCAGTTTTAATCCTCTCTAAATACACATATATTAATTTAATCATAAGTTGCTGTTTGCTTTGATATATTTAATCAGGATATGTGCTGTTTATTTTATGACATAATAACTTTACCATCTTAATAGAAAACAGAAACTGCAAATAAACATCATTTAAGTTAAAAATACTCTTTTTGAGAATCATGTTTGAGAAACTTCAGGTTCTAGGAATGTCAGACCATCTTCACTTATATAGTACTCTACATGTTTCAAAGGGTAGTGCCTGCTCCCCTCAGTTGTGGTTTTGCTATTCAGGAATGTGCATCATCCAGGGGGTTTCAAGCTAGGGATCCATGAAATGAAAAACATGTAAGTAGTTCTCATCAAGCATGTGAAGGATACAATCTGATTACTAGGTATGAGTGTAAAATGAATGGCACAGGAATATCAGGGCAAAATCAAGAATACCTTGGCACAGGATAGCAAAAGACCTTACTGGTAATGTTAAATCGTTCTGTAAGAAGAAGCTAAGAGGAAGAGGAGGTAGGAGGAAGATGAGGGACAGTGTTGTTCCCCTGGGAACGAAACTGTGGAAATACTGAAGTACTACATGGTTCTTTTGCCTCAGTTTTCACTAAAAGATCACGTGCAAACACACAGCACAGTTAATACTGACAACAAAAGACAGCATTTAAGTGTAGATTAAGAAAAGAAAGAGATACAGAAGGAAGGAAAAAAATACTTAACCATTTTCAATATGAATGACGCTATCTCAGAACTGTATTGGTTATCTCTGAGAATTTTGGAGACTGCATGAGGTAATGAAAAACAAGAAGAAGCAAACTCCTTCCACTTTCTGCAAAAGATTAAGATTTTCAGCTGCTTTACTCTCCTTGATTTGTCTATGTCATGTGATGTACTCTTTATTATAAGAGGTGGAAAACTTGGAGGTGTCTTCTTGTGGTTAGGTAATTAAGGACCACAAATGGATGAAAAGAGAACTCCACAGGTAGCGTAATTCCAATGTTTTCTAATTTGCCTCATATGAATTTGCATCTGTGATGTTCTTTCATTTAAACTGTCACATAAAGCCCAAACTACCTTAAAAATGGCAACATTATGTGCCATTGTAATGTCACCTTGAAGAATTAAAAACTTAAGGTGGTTAACAAAGGTCTCTAATTTTGTCACTTGCAGTGGTAATCCACCATTATCCTTTTAGTTCTAACCCATTTTGGAGACCAAATAAGACTTAAAAAGTGTCTTCTTAAGTTTACACTTGAAAAGGAAATTTCCAAATACTTGCTGACAGGAGAAGAGTGATGAGATTCAGGAAACATGAGTCCATTTCGCATGCTAAAAGACAATATGTATCGGATGTCATGGACCATTCTGGTTTTGATTACTCCGTCTTGCATTTCTGTTCCATCAGGTTCTTTGTCCTGACTTACTCTGATTTATCCTGATTTATTCTCAGCTTGTGTCCTTATCTCTTGAAATTCGTGTTAGATCATTTCTTTCTCTATTCCTTTTCTCTGCATCAGATGTCTTATCAAACTCCTAAATTTCCTAGCTACAGTTATGATAGTAAGTTAAACACTGCTAGGGAGCATTTGCAGGCATTGGAATTATATATATTGATCCTGGCAGTTTTAGCCAAATCCAACTAGCAATCTCTCTAACAAACCTTGGGTATAGCCTGGATACGCAGGCTTGTCATGAATGTGGCCATCCTTGTGCAGAGGGCAAGACCATTCAACAGCACTATGGACAATTCAGTGATAACTCACAGGTGATCAGGGAATACTTAGAACATGGTCCCAAGCTTGTTCAGTTTACTGAAATTAAACACAGTGTTTGCTCCTTGGTTAATGATTCTGTTTTCCCATGTTCTTTGCTAGATCAAAACCTGTCCCCTTAAACATTATTCTTTTCCCTTCCCTTCCCTTTCCTTTCCACCATCTCTCATCATTTATCTAGTGTCGTGGTTTAACCCCAGCCGGCAACTAAGCCCCATACAGCCGCTCGCTTATTCGCCCCCGGTGGGATGGGGGAGAGAATTGGAAGAGTAAAAGTGAGAAAACTTGTGGGTTGAGATAAAGACAGTTTAATAGGTAAAGCAAAAGCCGGGTACACAAGCAAAGCAAAACAAGGAATTCATTCACTCCTTCCCATCGGCAGGCAGGTGTTCAGCCATCTCCAGGAAAGCAGGGCTCCATCACGCATAATGGTTACTTGGGAAGACAAAACACCATCACTCTGAACGTCCCCCCTTTCCTTCTTCTTCCCCCAGCTTTATATGCTGAGCATGACATCATATGGTATGGAATATCCCTTTGGTCAGTTGGGGTCAGCTGTCCCAGCTGTGTCCCCTCCCAGCTTCTTGTGCACCCCCAGCCTACTCGGTGGTGGGGTGGGGTGAGAAGCAGAAAAGGCCTTGACCCTGTGTAAGCACTGCTCAGCAATAACCAAAACATCCCTGTACTATCAACAGTTTTCAGCACAAATCCAAAACATAGCCCCATGCGGGCTACTATGAAGAAAATTAACTCTACCCCAGCCAAAGCCAGCACATCTATCTTCGTAGTTTCTTATCTCTTCTCTTGCCCTCCGATTCCTTATTTACCGCCAGTCTAGTTCATGCCCCCTTTTCCTTTGACTCAGTTCACATTCTTTGTGCTGCATGGATATGGGCAAGGGGAACACTGAAAAGTAAAGGAAACAGGCAGTGTTCTGATACCCAGCCGTGTAGCAGCCAGCAGAAATTCCTCTTCAGCCTTTTAATCTGTAATCTGGAGCATAGTCTAGACAGAATATCTGGAGAATTCAGCTGCCAAATTCCAATTACTGACTGAACAATATGTGAAAAGGTTTTCAGCAAGTCATGTCTGTGGCTAGTTTAGCTCTTTATTTTTTTTTTCCAGGAATAGCAAACCATTTTGACAAATGGGCAGTTATTCGCTCTTCTTCCATTTTCTTTTTCCTGTCACTACCTTCTTAGCTCAAGGAGATAAAAAAAAAAAAAATTCAATTATAGTTGCTGCTCTTAGAGAGAAGTTTTTCCCTGGGGACAACTGAACATGTCAGCAAAATACAGCTGAACACGGGCTTCTTTGCAAAAACTCAGAAGTTAAGAGTATTACACTGCAAATATTTTTCGATGTGATTTAAAAAAGGGAACCATTTCAACATTATATTAACTGTAATTCAATCAGGTTTATATTTTTTAGAATCTAGTGAAATTATTTCATTTTCACTATGAATCGTACATATTAAATAGTAGTTCAAGAGAGGTAAAATATTCATATCTATGAAAAGTATTGCTATAGATAAAAGTGTCCTGTACTGATAACAGACCCTTCAGTTCCAGCAATAAAATCAGATACTGTTGCAAAATATCAGAATTAAAGTTTAGTGAAGGGGAGGTTTTGTACATCTGACCTGATGTACAAAAGACCTGAAGAAAGATAGGTATATTTATCTGAAAGGAGAGTTGTTAACATTTGCTATATCCATCAGTAAAAAAAAAGGGAATAATATTAGTTTGGTAACTAGTTACACATTGCTTTGTGTATGTTCATTTTTTCCTTTTAACTCCTGCTAATTAAAATGGTTCTTACCTGTGCTTTCAGAAACATCTATATGCTTCTGAAAGGACATGATTGTCTGGACAGAATTTCTGAAGTTGCTGTTAAGTGCCATTTCCTCTAAATCGTTGAAATAGGTGATAACTCCAGTTTGTTCAAAACAACAAAATTATATTGTCTACTTTTTAAAAATCATTAATAAATGTTTGTTCTTTTGTCCCTTTCTAAACACATTCTGTAACTGGGGGTAGACGAGCCTCTGTATTGGGCCAGATCATAAATGCATTAACTTAGAGACTTGTCAGTAATAATATCTGATAGCAGATATTTGGTAACATGCTATGAATAGTCATAATTTGGCTGGCATGTCCTCCTAACTTCCATCTTTATGGAACATAATTTCATCTACTTTGGTAGTCAGTGATCAAACATCTATTTGTCTAATCCTTTTGAAAACGTGTAGTTTCAGCCTCTACAGCATACTGTGGTAGTGAGTTAAACTCTATAAAATATATTATTTCCTTTGGTATTTCCAAATTTGCTGTCTGATAATTCTGTTTGTTTTCTCATAGTTTCTACTTATGTGAGA